CTGAAAATGTAATTAGGTCATTTTGACCAAATTTGACTTAATCCTCATTTCGATGTGATGGCTCACAAATACAGCACCAAAAATGCCTGACTTCTCCATATCAAACGGCTCTTTTGTGAACGTCGCTATTGTTGGTCTATTTTCAGTCACTTCAACTCTTTCCATAAGTAAACAAATGTTTGTGAGTGTTTTTTTTTCACATCAACCACTGATATAATGCTGTGCATATTTTGTTTCTTACTTCATGATGTTTTTATCTTTTTTCCAGACGTTGCATTGAGTAGCTTTAATGAGTATTTCTTCAAACTGAGGTAAATCAAACCACAATCCACAATAATTAGGAAACTAATTAATTATCTTTCAACAGAACTCCAAGTTTAAAGATCTGAACTATAAATTTGAGGCACAAATTGTTTTACAACAAAGTAAAAGGATTTAAACGGACATTAGCCACAATTTGGTCTTTAGGATACTAGCAAGCAAAAGGAGAGACAACTAGCTTTGAGACCAAAACAAACCAGGATTTTTTATGTCTGTTCTTTTAACATAAAAAAATACTTTCTCTTTTTTTTCTCAGCCAGTATATTTGTACCTTGGAAAAAAACATCTCCATTTAAAGGGTCAGTTCTTCTCCTTTTAAAACACAAAACGATTTTAAACTTCTTTTCCCCTTGAAATAAATGTAAAACATGTAAAAGTTGGGCTATGTGGTTCAAACTAGAAGTGAAACAGACTTAATACTGATGACCTAATTACTAATAAAACAAATAAACCTATTGGCCAGAGTCTGGCTCTCCTGAACACCAGTAAGGAGATAAAATCACATACAGTACTAAAACTTCTTCATCCTAACTTGTAATAAACTGATTTGAACTTTCACATGCTTCGGTACAAGACAGTAACAGTAACTAGGTTTTGAGAACTTGTGTAGAAAATGCAAGTTAACTTTTTTGCCAGATGTTTTTTTAATTAATTAATTTATTTATTTATTTTTAGCACACTTTACTGACCTTTGCCCTCTGGTTCTGAAACCAGACCTGGACCACACGAACACTTAGTCCAGTCTCAGCAGCCAAGGTTTCTCTGACCTGCAGTTAAAAATAAAGTTAGACTTTGTTCATATAAAAACCTGTGCCTGTGTGGGTTAGCTTTAAAGGGGCAATATTATGTGTTTCTCAGGCATATATTTAAATACTATACCATAATAAAGTATCTATGTCACCTTTAGTTGTTATTAAAATGCTGTTTTTATGTTTAAATAGAAAATAAACTTGTCTTCTCATCATTTCCTCTTCTAAACACCTTGAAATTGGCCTCTGTCTCTTTAAGAACCACCTTCCGCTTCTGTCCCGCCCATTTCAGTGTTGCGTGCTATGATGCAGTTTACTTGGCATCTGAAAATACATCTCCTCAAAGGTATTTTGAATCTGAAAAGGGCTTCACTGAGTGAGAAGTAGTGTTGAGCAGACAGTTTCGCTTTCACTTTCAGTTTCACCAGTCGTTTGCGGGGTGTGTGGGGCGGGGTGTGTTGGGTGGGGTGTGGGGAGGTGTGCTCCGTGATGAGGAAGCTCAGCTTGGAGTCACATCCCAGAGGCAGAGATGGTCCCAAAAGGCGGTTCTAGTCTCAACCTGTCGTTTTTGACCCCCTGCCTGCTGCCTCAGGACACCACAGGATTTCTCAAACATGCATGAATGAGTCAAAGTAAGACTCTGGGCATGTTTTTGATGAGAGTGTAACATTATAACATGATATAAAACTCAAAAAAGTTTATTTTACATGATATAGCCCCTTTAAGGCAACTTTACCAAACGTAAAATGAACATTAAACAATTCAATACCATTTTACTCTGAAAAAGCTACACACAAAGCACAATACTTTCAATTTCCTTATATAGTAAGAATAAATATAGTTTCTGTATGTAACACCGATCCATTGGTTAGAGACAGTGGTGAAAAAGAACAAGAAACAGAACTGAAATAGTTAAAGATGCTGAGGTTGTTTTTGGACAAAACAAGGATGGATAAGATTAGGAACGAGATTATCATGCAACTCAGCTGGAACACTGAAACAAAGTTAGAGAAACCAGACTGGAAAGGTTTGGACACGAGGAGAAAAGAGACATAAAAAAAACTGAATAAAAGGTTCAGGATCTTAGTTGAGGAGGATGTACAGAGGGTTGATGAGACAGAGTTATGCTGGGATATGAGGCGATGAAGGCAGATGAGCCCCTAAAGAGAGCAGCTGAAGAAGGAAGAAATGTCTGTTTTCTTGATCTTCAGCTCAAATGTGACAACTCATAAGTAGTAAAACCTCACAAATATGTCTTACAAATACTGAGAAAGATAAATACTGGATAATGATACTGGGTATTACGACAGATTTTTTTAAATCATTTTTAAATTACGAGAATAAAATCATAATATTACGAAATTAAAGTCGTAATATTACGGAATTAAAGTCGAAATATTACGGGATTAAAGTCGTAATATTACAGGATTAAAGTTGTAATATTACGAGTTTAACGTTGTAATATTTCAAGATTAAAGTCATACAGTATATTACGAGTTTAAATTCGTAATATTTCGAGTTTAAAATAATAATATTATGAGAAAAGTCATAATATTACGACATTAAAGGCGTATAAAAATAAAGTCAATATTATGAGAATAAAGTCGTAATATTACGAGATTAAATTCTTAATATTACAAGATTAAAGTCATAATATTATGAGAAAAAAGGTCAGAATATTGAAGCCTTTACATGAAAAGCACGCAGTTATCACTGGATTAAAATGAGGAATGTTGAGCAACTTATCAAGTTGTTCTTTAGTATTGCTTAAAATAAATCTTTTAGCACATTAGCATCAAATTAGTAGCAGAACCTGGAAATTGTGCAAACGACTATAAAGTGAAGCTGCAATTAAAGGATGCATTGACAGATTAGTCATCACGTTGCTAATTTGAATGAAAGCATATTAATCTAACAGTGACCCAAGTTATCGTGGACTACTTTATAAACACACACACATGGCTGTACACAGCAGGTGGGAGGAAAATAAGGAGGAAATTAGGAACGGAAAATGGACACTTCATGTAAGATTATAACTTTTTTCCTCGTAATACTATGACTTTATTCTCGTAAGATTATGACTTTAATCTCATAATTTAATCTCATAATATTACGCCTTTAATCTCGTAATATTATGACTGTAATCTTGTATTGTTATGACTTTATTCTCAGAAAATTACGGCTTTAATCTCGTAATAATAAAAAAAAAAATCTTGTTGTGTGGCCCTAATCCTCCGTCGTAGGATATTAACAATGATGAATAAAATCTTAAGTCTTTGCCAAACATTTGTCAATTCTCAACATTGTGTTTTTTCTTCTTCTTTTTTTTTCCTTTTTGATATAGGGCTAACTAAAACTCTTTATTAGCATTAAACGTCACTAAAGTCAGTCTTCCTAATTAAAGGACAAAATGGCAAAATCACAAAAGCTATTTTTGAAACCAGAGTAGTTGTGTTTGTTTGACAGTCTTTACAAAGAGAGCCTATATTTTAAAAGTCAATAAACTCTAACTCTGTGACAATAAATGAGTTAAACCTTTGCTCACCTTCCTGCAGGGCTTTGAGGAAACCTCAAATGAAGCCTTGAAGGCTCTCCTCTGCTGGGTGGTGAGGATTGTGCGTGGCCGTTTGGGTCGACGGGGATCTTTGCCATCGTCGCTGCCTTTCACCTCCTCCAGGAATTTTTCTGATTTCACAACCAAATCCTCATCCTCACTCTTTTCTGTCACAAAACACAACAAAGCATAAACTTAGCTATATGAATGCTAATTCAACTTTCACACTAATAATGTCTTTCCTCCATTTTTTCACAAACGTTGTGCTATTTTAACCATTTTATTGTATATCTATATAAACGACACTCAAGCATACAGTATACTATGATTTTCAGTATCATTTATATGCATCAAATTATTGCTATTTTTATATATAAAAAAATTCCTAGAAGAAAAACATTCAGATCACTTCAATTCCTTTACAAACACAGTCCTCTTAAAACTGCTTTTCTGAAACTTTTAGTAGTTTTGTTTGTTATTTGTGTTATTTTAAACATTCATATACTAAAACTTTTGTCTCAATCATTTGGGCCAAATATAGCTTTTAGTTACAATTTTGCTAATTACGGAATTTGGTTTTGCTTGCTTTGCTAATTTGCTAATTGTAGCTTCTCTTGTCTGTTAAAAACCAATTTTTAATTGTTAGCTTGTTTCTTTTCTAATTACTGTTTTAAACCATTTAGCTTTTACCTCCAGTTGTGCTAATTTTAGCGTTAAGACACAATTTTGCTCCATTAAACTTTTATCAAACTTAGCTTTTAGCTACTCTTGTTAATTGCAGCTTTTAGCTGCTGTTTTGATAATTCAGTTTTAACAATAGTTTAGCTCATTTTAGCTTTTACTTTTCTTTTAGATAAACTTCACTGCAAAACCTGTCCACATAACCAAGTTTTAAAATCTTATATCAGCCAAAAAGTCTTTTTGATCTTGTTTTGAGACTGATTTACTAAACA